TGCGTCATAGAAGTCTTATTGATAAAGGGCAGAATGGCGAATGTGATAAAAGGGCATACGTTTGCAAGTAAAATATTGTTCTAGGGTAGACGCACTGTCTAATGAAAGCTAGCTGTTACTTTCTTTATAAAATAGTAAGAAATTAGAAAATTAAAATAGTTTGACTGCACTGTTGGCGCGGTGGCTGGGCAACTGGCTGCCGTGCAACGTGTCGCGGGTTCGATTCCCGCACGGAACAGCACTTTGTGTGATCCACAAATTGTTGTTTAGTGTCTGGGTGTTATGTGTATGTGAATTTGTATGTTTGTAAACGCATCCACAGCACAGGAGAAAATCCTAGAGATCCTTTTTTTAAATATATATATTTTGTTACTACCGCTCCGGCTCTTACACCGGTTTTTTTTCTTGTTTAGAAGAGAGGTAAATAATCGAAATTACTTTTCTATCACTTTGTGCGGCGAAATGTAGAGTGTCTGATTAAAAATCACCTCGTTTATTCTCCTGGTCCAGGCTTAACATCAGCCCGGTTGGCTGAGTCCCATCTGTTCTCACATTATACATATAAAAAACCTTAAGATTGCAAAGTTAAAATTTACAGTGATTGTGGTTTTATAGTCACAGTACGAATCGCAACTGGCATGTTAGCTAGATTACGGGAGGGAATAACTTGTGTTTAAGATACCAGTCCCTTTCCCCTATATTAACCTAAATATTATGTGAACATAGGGGTTAATATTTACACGTGAGCCACATTTTTGAGCAATCTAAGACTATGTTGCGTTAAGGAGCCCGCTTCTCATGCACGAGGGTTCGAAACCTGGCAAGTATTAATGTGACTTTTTCGAGTTATATGTACTTTCTATGATTATTTAGACACCACTGACACACGGTGAAGGTAAACATCGTGAGGAAACCTGGACTTTATAATATCTAATTATAAGTTTGAAATCGCCAACTCGCTTTGAGCAAGCGTGGTGATTAATGCTCAAACCTTCTCCGTATGAGAAGAGGCCTTTGCTCAGCAGTGGGCACTTATAGGCTGATGTTGATGATTGATGAGACTGTTAATAAAGTGAGAGAAACGAAAGGATAAAAAATAAAAATAGAAACCAGAAGCTTAGAGTTCCGTCTGTGGTAGTCTATTGGCCGTTTAAGATGTCAAAAAATCTATGAATTGTTTAAAAAATATGATATCACAATCACAAGACTCGTAAGAGCAACATTATCAACCGACCTGTTCAATGACCATGGTGGTGATTGAGATTTCGAGGGCGACACTGAAAATTTTGAGAATCAAAGAAGTGACAAAACATTTATATTTAAAAAAATATTTATTTAAACCTTTAAATTATTATATTATTTTTTCATAATTTTATTACTTCATCACTTATATTCACTGTGAATTAATTAATATTTATAATCCTGAATTATTAACTAACTTTAAACCTAATTGAATATTTTTTGACATCCTATAATTAGTTTATTCGTATTGTATCTTGTTTTCATTGCGTAAATTAAGTTTTTTTTTGTAAGTTTAATTGAATGCGAATTTTGTGCACATCTATTATTGACACTAACACTAGATAAGACCTATAAAATGTGAAATAACCATGTTTGTGTTTGTGTTGTTGATGTGCCTTAAATAAATAATTGTTTATGCAGGATCAAAAGTAAATTTGAATCTTGCCAATATCTACAGTTTGCCTGAAATTCAAGTTAGGTATCTAACTTATCGATCTTCTGCAATCAGCATCAACTTTTTTTGGATGACTGCAGTTTTGGACGACCTTGACGGGGGATCTTTACTGAGCTGAAATACGGTAGTTTCCAACTAGTCAAATTCAATACTTTTATCCAAATGTCAAAAACGATACTTTTCTATGAAAGGACATGGCCAAAAAAGTACATTCCACGTACACGAACAAAATTAATACACTGTAAAATACAAATAGAAATATGAATTATTACGTAGTTCGTATTCCTCTCCAGACTTGACAATTATTATTAAAAAAATGTAAAAGTAATGCAACAAAATCAACTTATCGTTTGTCAAGTTTCGCCATAATAGTCCATAGAGAAAGATAAATAAAAAGACGTTCCAATTCCAAACCACGTGTCTTAAACTACACTCGTAGAAAACGTGTGATATGATCGACAAATGCATTACACTAGGAACATTTTATTCATACGAAACTGTATTCATTGGTTTTAGTTGCATTTTAAAATATACTCATATTATAATAATTATGTTTTATTTTTATCCAATTCACCAAAAAAAAAACTTAAACGAAACGGAACGTGTTTGACACTTTTGACAGCGTGTTTTTGTTAACCTTGCTAATAATAGTAACTGTTTTGCGTTTTGGATTTGTTTTGTGGATTACAATGAGGTGCATCAAATGCGGAATAGGCGTACAAAGGCTGCAGAGGCGTCTTATACCCTCGCTTTCTGCACCCCATCAAACAAAACTTTCACGTTGGTTAACCATAGCTCAAACCCAGGTATGAAGTCGGAATAGTATAATACTTAGTCTGTTTTTTTATGTTTTATAATGGTATGCGATTTTAAATAGTGCATCTTTTTTTTAGTTGCCTCTGGGGACATTCATTTGTCAACCACGCTTCTTATTATTGAATACTGAGGCTGGTGAACATGAGAGACTACTTGGGCATAACATGGCTTGCCTTGGTTGTGGAAAATCGGTTCGAAAAATAAGACACCATAATGTCAGTATGGACTCTCCATTGCTAGCTGGCCTAATATCACAAAATACTATTAATGTGGTAAGCATTTTGTTTTTTATTCATTGTTTTATATATGTACTTGTATTTATCTATATTAATCTATAAAAAAAGTACTCATAGTAGGTATGTGTGATTATAATATCTATCTTTATGTATTTTCCATGTTTGCATAGACTTCTTTAAAGTAGGCATGTTGTAACATAATACTTCTCACTGTACAATAACATAAAACTTGAAAACATGTGTTTATTCTAACTGGGGTTTATTTTCCGACCTCAAGAAGCAACTATGTTTGTCATGTGTGCTGTATGCGGGCAGCAAATAGACAGACAGTGCAGGACTTATCACGAAACTTGCAGGAATTGGGTTCGGACAGCAACGCAGCAGCTCCTTATATTCAAGTGGTTAGCCCACCAGAGCCACCACCATTACCACCTGTTTTGAGCAGGCCGCTTCAAATGGAAAGTACTACCATATTATTACCCAATTATACAGAATATACTTATATTAAAGAAACGTACATTCCATACACAAACATAATAAAATACACTTTATAATAAAAATATAAAAGTGAATTATTATGTAGTTTTATTTTATTTGTTCTCCTTAATAAATAAATAATTATTCTTTATATTAAAAGATATGAAATATGAAAAGATTTTTAAAAGCAAAATCTTATTTCGTGCACTTATGGCCAGTAATCTGACTAAAGGTTTAGTGAAACTATTTTCGTCTTGTTTGTTATAATTACGAGTTCTTCATGTGTTTTATTTATTGCAATTTAATTTAATAATATTCACGAATGTAAACACCAAAAATCATTGATGTACATTGAATTCAATAACTATGCAAACGCCCATACAAAAGTTGGCCATGTCCTTTGTATGAAAAACTGTAGTATTTTTGCGTCAAATAGCTTACTTATTTCTTAAAAATTAGCTAAAACATATCTAAAATTTAGTAGGTATATCGATCGATCGATGAATAAAAGTAAAGTTAAACTAAAACCAGCATTAATTTGTGGTTTTGGATGGGGCTTCATCATCAAATGCAGAATGCATCCGATCAACACACTGTTTTTGTGTTAAATTATTGAGTTTATCAAAGTCAACTCAAAGTCGAGTCAAAGTTATGACTTTGAAAGTAATTAGAGAAAATTTAAAAAACGAGAATTTATCATACCTAATAATAAATCATTGAATAAATCATAGTTTCATTTTAATTTTCATTCAATTCCATTTCCTGACTAAACAAGTTTGCAAAGACAAAGAATTTTTATATAAAAAAAATGAATGATGATCGGTTTTCAGAACAAAGGACTTTTCTATTAAAATGATTTAAATATGAAAGGAACAGAGGAAATATTCCATTCCCGATAATTGTAGTGCAATCCTTGTAGAGCCTAAAAATATGTCACTTGGAAAACCCGATGACAGTCTCTCCGATCCACGAATCTATTCTATTTGTATATATTGGGTGAATCAGAATTTAAAACTAGACACCAAATACTATTACAGGTAGGTAACCTAAGCAATGTGTATATATAAACTGTACTAACTCCAATTCCTATAAATAACCGTTATTTTTTTAATTACTCCATCAATTCTTTTCCGCTTCAATGTTGCCAGTACCTACACGTGACACCAGAACAACGTAATGTTGCCAGTTAATTACTATAAGGTCAGAGATAACATTTCAAATTAAAAGGGATAATAAATTGGTTTCATTTTCAACGCTTCATTAAGTAAAGGATAGACACCGTGTCGCCCGGAGTAATTAACTTTAGTTATATTGATATGGCTTGTTGGCCTAGTTCTGTGTGACCTAAGTTCGATATCTGAGTCGGGTAATGGTTTTTACTGCCTTATCATTGGTATGTTCATATTGTTACTTGCTTTTTACGGTCGCAAAAAGAATTATTATATGTTATATCTTTTTAATATAATATTATATCTTTTTTTCCTATGGAGGCAACCCCTTATGATCGCCTCATGACCTGATGGTAAGCAATCGGCGGCAAGAGGAGCGACAAAGGTAAGAGAGCCGGCCTTTTGTAAGGAATTTGAAGATTGGGAATGGGATGGTGATGGTGATGGTGATAGGTTATGTAGAAATCGCTAAGTCGCTATCTCAACTCTTGCAGGAGAATTTCCCATCATCAACTATCTTAAGCAGATATTTTCGATAAAATATAAATATCTCAATACAAACTTACGAGTTTTTGGTTGGGGCGAGAGGAAGTGTCAGAATCTTACTGACTGAAAGCCACTCCTTCTCCTGCTCAGACTCGGGGTCGTGGTAGATTTTTAAGCTTAAACTCACAAGAGAGATCTGGAAATAAGAAGACACAGGAAAAATCTATTATCATTAAGCTGAAAACTTTGTTTGTTTGTTTGTTTACTTGAATGCGCTAATCTCTAAAACTACTGATTCGAATCGAACAATTCTTTTAGTTTTGCATAGGCAACTTATAGAGGAAAGCTTAGTTCATTATTTTTTGCTTGCACCCGCAGTGTCTTATACATATATTAGGTATTTAATCTATTCAAAGTAATACATAGGTTAACCACATCTTACTCAACCTCACCACGATGATTTCATTGAACATATAAAATTATGAATGACGGCGCACAAATACAATAATTACTGCATTTTACAATAACAACCGTTGCATTAAGACCTAGATAACATAAAGATGATTCTAAGAATTATTGTTATTCATTGTTTGTATACATATATACCAGATAGTGAAGCTTCAATGACATAATTGTCTTCATATCTTTACCGTACTTACATTATCTGTTGGCAAAGGCTGAATGGTAAACAGCATTGGTCTAGATTCGAAAAAAAAGTACAATCAAAACTGTTTTGACATTTCGCGCCATATTGGTTTATATTTTTTCTCTTCGCGCCATTTTGTGAGTTATATTGATTTGGTGTAATGATGTTTTTCTTTTGGCGGTGACTTTCAGACTTGTGCAGGAGTGCTATAAGCTGAATTGGACCTTTGGATAAGAGGGGTAGAAGCCAACTCGCACAGGCTCGTTGAACAACTTTAACCTCTCATCTGCCGGTATATGAGACATAATAGAAAACACATTGTGTGTGTGTCTCGTGTAGTACTGCGCTCCTGCATCACGAGTTAATTTAGATGTTATGTGGACTTCTTAATAAAATTATTACCTTTAATTTGAACAGTTACATGTTTAATAATAGCAAGTGATCTTGACCATGAAGCATGAGTTAATAATAAAAAGCTATGATGAAACTTTCTTATGTCATGCATTTATTATTGTTGCATTACCTAGACTTCTTGTGGTTTACATTTAGTTTTCATTTTGCGCCTTAAAATATCCGACCACAAAGCATTAAATATTGATAATGTAAAAGACACTTTGTTTAAATTAAACTAATAAATAAAAAACAAGAGAAAATAGTTTGTTTGGTATTTAAACGTTTTTACTTTGGGCAAAAAAGGTCATTTAATGATTTTCCCTCCTCAATCCATAAATCTCCAAAATCCCAAAAGGCTGGCAACGTCCTCGTGTAACGACATCCAAAAACAGTTGTTTAGTAACACACTCGCCAGATAGGTACATCTGAACCGAACAGTAGATAAAAAAGGTGTAGGTATAGCTATACGGCGCTGCATACGTTGGCGGAATGCCCAGCTTGGGCCGAGCAGTGCCGTGACCTGGTCGCGGCCGTAGGTGCTGCGGGAAATCTCTCGCTTCCGGCTGAAGTGTCTACTATGGTCGGGAGCGAGTCAGGGTGCAGTACCGTCGCTATCTTTTGCGAGGCCGTGATTTCTCGTGCAGCAGACGCACTAGACGTCGCGTCGTACCGTAGGGCGCGGCCTGCGGACGACAGACTCGGGGCGTCTAGTCGTCCGACCAGTGGGTGAAGGGACCCGCTTAACCATCTGGCGGGCCAATTCGGCGATACCCGTCCCTCCAACACATGGGTAAGTGGAGGAACACCGGGTTGGTTTTTAGTCAGTAAGAGTCTGACAGTAGGTATGAGGATTTACCAACCCGATACAAAAAAAAAAACTGAACCTCAAAACAAACTTCTTGCATCTCTTCAACTGTACGAGTATCTCTCAGTACCTACAGTACCTAAGATATAGGTCATGAGTACCTATTTCTAAGTACCTACTAAATGACTCAGCCTTGCACTCCTTAATTTGTAACAAAGGATCTAGTTATGTCAGCCATCACTTACGACTCTCAACATGGTCGCCCAGAGCCCTGTGGTTGAAGTGACACGTGATCAGAAAACTAAAGCAACGAAGAAGACTGACTCAGCTTTTCTGATTTAGAATTTAGATGCAGGCTCTAACTGTGACTGTGTTTCTTTTTGTGTTAGTGGCTGTCTGTTTATTTGTGTTTTTGGTTTTGGAGTCTTCTGGTGAAGCAAATGTATATTGATGAGCTGATAATTTGATCAGCATTTTAGTTTTTTCTTTAGAAACTGTCGTGAGTTATGTTTAAGTATAAGTAAGTACTTATACTTACGTTAATCAACTGAGAAGCTTTACTAGGTAGTATCTAGTCTATAATATTTTCATCCAATGGTGGTTCTCTTATCTACAGTAACTTACTGTAGTTACTATAACAGTTGGTAAGAGCACTGGCGCTTAGGTACCAATTGTTATTGTGGAAAATGCAGTTTAAAAGATCAAGATCAAACAGTGAGCATGGCTACCGAATCCCTCACAAATGTCTAGTATAAACTGATATGTAGAACCGCAACACCAAAGGAATTACGAGTGCGTTGCCGACCTTTTAGGGATAAAGGTTTCAGTTATTTAAGGATTGGGAAGGGATGGGGGAGGGGCGTGATTGGGCCTCCGGTAACCTCACTCATAGAAACACAACGCTGTGGTTGTTTCACTCCGGTTTTTTGTGAGGCCGTGGTAGCACTCCGGTCGACCCGACCCATTCGTGACGAAGCAAGGATCTCCCACATTTAAAAAAAGGTCTGGTGCCAAAAAGAAGAAGACAAACGCATTTATAATGAAATTAGCAAGGCACACCGGGCTTATAATATAGTATTTATTTACAATATTGATGAGCTAATAAAAATACAATAAAACAGTATTATTATGTCATTCTTCTTTATTCATTCTTATAATAATATGTTGTAACTGAATAGTCTGTAACATGTGTCATCAATCTAAGTGTTAGGAGGAAAACATTTATTATTTAGGTAGGTATACTAGCCACAATACTGATACCTTATAACCTACCAAATTTCTCCACTATCAAATGGATATTATTATACATATAAATCTTCATTTTCAATCACTTTATCTTTAAAAAAACCGCATCAAAATCCGTTGGGTAGTTTTAGCATAAGGATATAGGCATAGAGAATGCGACTTTGTTTAATACTATGCAATTATTATTGTATGTAAAGTACTGAAGTACCGACAAAGCCTGAATATTTTTTGGTCTTAGTCGAGCAAGGACATGGTTCGGAGCGAGAGGAACTGGAAAGCTGCCTCCTCCTTCTTCGAAGCAGTCATGGTCAACTGTCCTCCTCCCGGCCCCTATTCCAGAATGGAGAAGGAGATGGAACGGGGTATTTTTTAGTTAGTAAGATACTCCCTCTCGCCTTTCCCTTGGCGAGAGAAGTTATTTTATGAGTTTCCTCTCACGAAAAAGGTAATTAATAATAAACGTGAGTTTGTGAGTTTATGCAAAGGTTTAGCTAAAAATCTAAACGTATAAATATACGTTTATATTAATATTATATACGTTTATATTAATTTTATATTATACATTTAAATAAAATGAATTTAAATATTGAAAAAAAAAACACCACACCTGTCAAAAAATTTTGTCTGCTAGTCTGTCTTTTTGTTAATACTAATCTTTGGAATGGCTAGAGCGATTTTGACCAGACTTCTATTGGTAAGTAACTGATCTAGAAACCTAATAAGGAGTAACTTACGCTAGGTACTTTCATTATATTTCAACCCTTTTTTGTATTTCATAGCAGTAGTTTCCGCGCGATAGTCATAATAAAATTTTATGCAGAAGAAGTCTGTTAAAGCTAGTACCTAATTAATTAATATGTAGATTAAAATTTTTCATACTAACATCGCGTCGTTCATTTCAGTCAAATTATAATGCAGATCAGATACAAAGCGCATAGGAAATTAGCTGCACACAAGTGACACCTGTCGTCATTGTCAGGAGACTGGAGATTACCAAGAAAGCCAGTTGCCACCTGTGCATGATGGCGTGTGACCGGAGTTAGGTCATACCCACGTATTTATACGCAATTATGGTGCGACTATGTCCGGTGTCTTCCAAACTTTACGTAAAGATAGAGGCTATGGCGGTTGTAACAATATTTTTTTTATTTCTAAGTAGCTCGCAGATACTGATTTCCACGGGTACAACGTGTCCAACTAGACTCGATTACGACGAAAAAGCCGCTATTTAACAACTAAGTACCTACCCTTCTTTCTTAAATAAGTTTGTCAAAGAAACCCTTAGAGTTCGAAACCTATAAGCTCAGAATACAGATACAGAACAAACCAGAAGGCGTCATCGCGCATCAAACTAAAGCAACTAAAACCATTCTCAACTAGAATAGTATGAAATTTCTACGATTAGTCAATTTTGGCACGTGGCATGTCGTGACGTATTTACGAGTATCAATTTTAATTTCATTATGCCGTCTTGTGTTGTTACTACGAGTAAAAATGCGACTGGAATTACGAAAAAAGTAGATAAGAATACATTTCATCTGCAAGCATCGACTGCAATAGTATATTTAATTAATTATAGATTTTTTTTTTATCGATTTATTTTTCTATGAAAATGATGCGGCCATTTTGTGAGTGTTGTCATTTTTGGTGAAAATTTTACCCACTTATTTATTTGTTGTGGGTTGTATTTTTGTCCATTATGGAGCCTATGTCATATTAGTTTCCCTGACAAAAAAATAAATACAAATCATACAAAGGGCACGGTTAGATTAATTTTGGAAACCATCTAGCCAGAGCATAGTTTGCTCAATTCACTTTGAAGAGATATATTTATGACAAAGGTGGTTTGAAAACAGCATATCCTACTAAGATATATCTATACTAATTATAATGCTAAAGAGTTTGTTTGTTTGTTTGCTAGAATGCGCTAATCTCAGGAACTAAGTAAAGTAAGTAGACTTCTAATCTTTAGTTCCGAGTCTAAAGACAATACATATAAAAAACTAAACCAGCAAAAGGGAACGCAATAAAACCTTTATACTTATTGAAGCTTTATTTTATTTGTTGTGTATAGTAGGTGTAACTAAAATTAACAAATCCAGAAATCGTCAACTTTTATGATACCTCTATGAAATGTGTGAACAACTAGTCTGTTGCATTTATCGTAAGTTTACCTATTTTGTTGGGTTTACTCGTATCTTACTCTCCTGTTGTAAAATTACCCCAAACCAAGGGAATTGTTTCACTGTCGGCAACACTACGCGGGTGGGAAGTGCAGCTGGCGGGGGGATTGACGTATTGTTTTTGGACACATTTGACGACATGTAATTATGAGTGAACGCGGATTCTGGTTTGTTCTGTATTCTGAGCCTATAAGATAGATTATCTATACCAATATTATAAAGAGGTAAAATTTGTAAGTTTGTATGTAGGGGGTCATCTTTGGAACCGCTGGTCGGATTGCCAAAATTCTTTCACTGATAGATAGCTACAATGTTCCTGAGTGCTATAGGCTATAAAACATCACGCTACGATCAAATGGAGCCGAGCAGCGGGTGAAACCGCGCGAGAATAGCTAGCCTATTATAAAGTGGTGAAAATTCTATGTTAATATAGGAGGTTATGGGGGTAATTTTTGGAACCGCTGGCTCATCATCATCATCATCATCAGCCTGTTGTCGTCCACTGCTGGACATAGGCCTCCCCAATTGCACGCCACTGAGCTCGATGTTCAGCTCTTCTCATCCAACCACTGCCCGCCACCCTGCGGATGTCGTCAGTCCACCTAGCTAGAGGGCGCCCTACACTACGTTTGCCTAGACGTGGTCTGGCTGGCTGGCTCGGATTTCCAAAATTCTTGCACTGATAGATAGCTACAATGCTATAGGCTATAAATTATACTTGATTTGCGTATTTTAGTTGAGATCCGCTTTAAACGCTGCTGTTTTCAAAATCACGGGATACATTCCTTTTATACGCTAAGCCGCGGGCGGAAGCTAGTATTATATAGAGGTAAAATTTGTATGTTTGTTCGTATGGGACGATCTTTGGAAGCAAACCCGAAAGGCTTTCACTTATAAAATTACATTTGTTTTATTACTAACTCTATGTCTTCTTATAAGTAGGTAGGCACGACCAAATAAAAAATAATATCGCACGTGATATTCAGCATTGTGTACTAGAGTTTATCATTAGGTAACTCTTATCTAGCCGATTGTTTGAAGTTTGAGAAGTCAGCTAGCTGTAGTTATTAAGCCATTCTTTGAACAGTATCTGAGGTACAATATGAAAGGACTAGGTTTCGCCCGCGACGCGCCGCTTCGATCTTTTCGTAATTGAGGTTTGGGAAGGAAAGTTGGGCCCTTGTTATTTTAATCTTTACTTATCAATACTAATATTATATGTATAAATGCGACAGTAACTGTGTCTATCTGTCTGTGTTTTCTAAACTACTGAACCGATTTTTGTGAAATTTGGTACAGACATAGTTTGGAACTCGACAAAGGACATAGGATAGTTTTTATGCCAAAAATCTGCAGGAAGATACTATTCCACGATACACATAATGTACCTACTTCGTTTTAACTATTTTTCTAGCTAATTTGTAAGAAATAAGTACCTATACTATTAGATGCAAAAATATGATGACGCTCCAAGTCTCAAGGTCTCATTAAAATATTCATGTAAAACTTGGAAAAGTATCGTTTTTGACATACAAGTGAGTATAATAGTAGCCATATTTTTCTTTCTACCTACCTTGAAAGCACAGATTTTTCAATGGTTAGATAAAAGTTATCTGGTGAATATTTATGATGCTGTCGCGTCAGAATGTTTGTATAAGACAGTGACAGCAACAATTTTATTCCTCATAACATTTATCTGACTATTAAAAAAATCTGCCCTTTAAAAGCAAAATGCCACTTCAATTAGATTTTTATTTATAATTTTTTTCCCGGCGTTAGTAAAATTGTTAGGAAAACTTTGAAAGTGCCGTTCTTAGACAGCTTCAAAATTTTGACACTAGAGGCGCTAGTTAGAATCTTTGCATCGCCAATAACATTTATCTGAATATTGAAAAATCAGCCCCTAGTCGGACTAAAAACTTTTTGGAACAAAAATAATAAAACTTTCAGAATAATAAGAAATAAAGTCTTCCAACAATTATCCACAATGCAATGTGCTTATACAAGTCATAACTTTCATACTAACGTTCGGGACAGACAGACAGACAGACAGACAAAATCTCTACATAATTGCTGAACATATGAAAATAAAATTGAAAAAAACAAAAAAGACATAATATTCATTTATTTCGGTATTTCAAATCTGTTGTGCATCACTGCTTCTGCCCAAACAAACTAATACCAACCTTAATTTTAATGTGATAAGGGTTAATTTTACTTGCATTTTGAGCCTAAAGCTCAAAGCTCAGACAGCGTGCGTGTGCGTAAAGTTACAACTAAAGTGTCTTTGTGGGTGTGTACATGTATACGGGATACGGTTACCGTCTAGTGAGGGGCGTTCGATTTGTCGATGTGGCTATTTCCTTTTGTGAGTTTTTTAGTTAGTAAGTATAAATAGTAGGTATATTTTATGGCTTGGACTGCATTTTTATAATTGAGTTTTTTCCTAAGTCAAAATTAAATTAATTCGACGTTTCAATACAATAAAATATTGAAAAATAACTATACCTACTTTTATTCATCAATTTGCCGATACACTAAATATTTGATATTTTTTAGCAATGTTTTTAAGAAATAAGTAGGCTATTTGACGCAAAAATGCTATGACGTTATAATTTGCAGTTTCATACAAATTTCATAGAATAGTATATGTTTTTGACATTTGGAAAAACTATTGAATTTGACTGGTTGGAAACTACCGAATTGTAGATGTGTTTTTAAGATAGTCAGAAAAAGGTATTTAGAATTTTCGGTCTTTCGGACTTTAATTCTAAACCTACAATTTATGGAACGGTAGGGAGTAATTAAACATTTCAATTTAAAATTATTTTTTCTGGTTTTCTCCCTTCTTTTACTTCTGCACTTATGAAACATTAAATTACGGCTATTTAAAATAAAATAAATTTAATTAAAATACAACGTTATACGACATAACTTAAGAATAAATCATTACCTCCTTTGATTTTATTATTTCTATCTTGGTAGAAAACTACTTACATTATAATAATTCGAATAACATTTTCTTCAATTCTGTTCGTGTATAGCTGTCAATGTCTTTCTGTTATTTTGATTTTGGATTACAGTCTAGTCGTATCTAAGTAGGTAACAATTGATATGTCACGACGATTCAATGAAATTGTAAGAAAATTACATTGACTAAGTATATTATCTATAATTGTAACAAAGTAAATAGTTTTTTTTTTATGTAATAACTCGGCAAACGAGCAGACGGATTACCTGATGGTAAGCAATCAGCGCCGCCCATGGACACTCGCAACGGAGGACTTACGAGTGCGTTGCCGACCTTTTAGGGATTAGGGATTTGGAGATTTAGGGATTGAGGAGGGATTGGGGAAGGGGAAGGATTGGGCCTCCGGTAACCTCACTCACACGGCGAAACACAGCGCAGAGGTTATTTCACGCCGGTTTTCTGTGAGGCCGTGGTATCACTCCGGTCGAGCCGACCCATTCGTGCTGAAGCATGGCTCTCCCACACTTAAAGTTTGCGTTTTTGTCACCACGCAGGTATCAAACATGTTTTTGCACAACAGCTAGAATATAAAATT